GGTTAGCATTTTAATCTTGGGGTTTTTGCTTGGAAAAATGATGCTGCTCAACTATTGGCTACACTCAAATTACCTGAGAAGTAAACTATCATTATTGACTGTTTGGTTTAATGTAAAGTAGCTCCTCCAGTTACCTGAGTTATTTCAATAACACAAAAATGAAAAATTCTGAGAGCTGGAGCATAATCAAGTGAATCTATATACTCTTTACAGAGGACATTCCAACTGTGGAGTAGATTGCAAAAAAATAACTTTTAAATCCTCAATTTTAGGGTGAGAATGCTATGACTTGAAAATTTAGAATCTTGATGTAGGATTGTGCGAGCCAAAAGCAGTGCATAGTCTCCAGATTCCTAACTCTCACAGTCCAAATCTCTTTAATCCTTTAAAAACATTTTGTGTCTATCTCATTCAAGACCCTTGGGGAGGGGAGAGATGGCCCAATTTATTCCCTGGGCCTAATGCAATTTTATAGAATGAATTTCTCAACCCTCAGCCACTTACTCAAATGGACTGATTAAAGCAAAAAAATCTCAGCTTTAGCAAGAGATATTTTATTGCATCTCTGTCATTATTCATTCTCTGTGCCTCCCAAAGCAAGCTTTCTCCACCAAGTTCTACTGGTATAGCCTCTAAAGCTATGAGTTATGGTTATCTACTCATTTTGTGTCCCACTGCCAACTCTATTTCCTTTCTGGCTATTTGTTTGCTTGCTTTATTTTTATTTGCTTGTTTGTTTTGGTTGGACTGGGTATTGAACTCGGGACCTTGTACTTGTCAGACAGGTGAGCACCACTATTTCCCCGGCCCCAACTTTCCAAGTCACCTTTATGGTTCATGCTAATTATTTACCTTATGGAGGACCGTGGTTCAAGAAGTTATTAAAATTTCATAAAGAAGCAATATATGTTAGCAGTCCAGGGCAAATGTCATGTGGATGCTAAAATAGCAGTTAAACGCTTTCATTTTGTTTTAGTTTGGGTGGATTGGTTTTTGTCTTTTATTTTTTGTCTTACATATATTTCTAAATAGCCCTGTTTCTTTCAATGAACTCTGCTCTGTGAAGAAATAAGATTTATTTTACCAATCAAAATGTCCTTGGCTTTAAAAAGCTGAACAGTTCTTTGTCTCCCAGCTGCTGAGTTGTCAGCAGTGGATATTGTTTCTAGAGACCTTTCCCCTTATCCTGGAAGCCCCCTTTGTACCCTACACAGAATAGAAAGCCATCAGATACATATAGGGCTACAAGAGAACAGTATTCTTTTCTCAGGAGGGAGGAAGGTCACAAAAGATGGGGAGAGTGACAGTATAGGGCTTTGGTCAGTTGGGCATTCGGGCTATGCTGGGAAGATATCGCAGATAAATGGAAGTTCCTCATTTTGAGGTTGTTTTACTTTGTCTCTTCATGTTGCCATACATACAGATACCCTATTTCGATACATAGGTTCAAATCTTGGAGTTTTCCTCTTGTCTCCACTATGTTCTAATTCAATGATACAGAGAGTGTTACTTAATGTTCCTCAGGTTCCTGATCTGTGAAGATCTATGTATAACACCTGCCTTGCTTCTATGGCTCTAAATTAACTAATAGTCAAATTCTCACATACTATTATCTTTGTCTTTCCTTTTTATGTTGCAAGAAGCCTCCAGCATTTATTCATTGTACGAACTAGTAAGTACACTATTAAGTAATTTACTAGTAAGAACACTTACTAGAAAATAGGGAAGAAATTTGTATTAAAATTCCAAATAAAGTCTAGCGTCATTGGCTAAAAATAATCACACCATGTTAAAGAAAGAAGTTTAATTCCATCATGCTCTAAAGTTCTCAAAACCTAGCTAGGGTTGGGGATGACTTACTTGGTAATCTAGCATAAAATGGACTTTTCTGACCCCCTAAGCCCTCCCCACCCACACAAAGTATCTTTAGTTTCTTTTTATCCATTAACGATGCTTATGGGGCAATATGAATTGGTTTTTGTTACTCATACACAAGAAAAATCACATGAATATTTAGACACATAATGAAGAAGACTGTTTTGTGTTTGAATTGAATGGATCCTGCATGGATTTGACAATATATTTCACCGTAAATTTATTAACTTTTAACTTGGCACTCAATTAAATAGAAGAGAATTTTTTTTTTCTGTACAAAGCCATCTTTAAATAACCATTGCAATCACAGTGTTTTACCAAGTTAGAAATGTCATTGTTTCCTGCACTTCAGGAAAATGTGTCTCAATATTTTCTCTTTATAAATTCTCTGTCTTTCCCCCTTTCACCTTGCACCCCACATTAAGGTCTAATTCTTAAATTACTCTGTATTTTGGAGAACTGTCCAGATAGTTTTTTAACCGCCTATGTTTTGGTTTCTGGGTATTGCACACTAAAGAAGAACCCTGTGCATCTTTAGTAAATCAATCTGTGTCTCACTCTATCTCCATAGATTTTTGGAAAGTGTCTTTCTGGCATTTTCAGCCCACATATGTAGCCTGCCTTTGTGAGACTTTAATCATCAACTGCATACATGGGTATTAAACTTGGATCGGCTTGAGGATAGGTGCTGGCAGCCTCCGTGCATTCTGAGCCTTATGGAAGGGCTGGTCATTGTGCCGTCCTCCTCAGTCCCTGTGTTAGTCAGCTACCACTGCTTTAGTATGCTCAGGCCTCCTAGGTGCTCAAGCAACAGAGACTTATTTCTTCACAAGTCTAGAGACCGGAAGTCCAAAATTAAGGTACGAGAAGAGAAGAGCCAAATCCTAGTGAGATTTTGTCCTTGGCTTACAGAAAGACACCTTTTCACTGTGTCCTCACATGGCCTTTCTTCTATATCAAACACACACACCACACACACACACACACACACACACACACACTTTTCAAAACCTAAGACCATACTTCATTGTTTTGTATATTGCATTTGTAATTACATCATGAGCATAAAAGTACTTTCAGAATGTTTTCTTAAATGCTTTTTAAAGTCAAATTACTATTTAAAGATCTTTTAAATAGAAATAAAATCTTGGAATTTTAAAAATAGGGCCCACAGTCATCATTTCACATAGATAAATAAATGCAATTGGCCCCCATGTGCTTTTTCATTGCTTTGAGATTCTTAATCGATCATCTCTGTTATGCCGGTCTTCAAGCCAGGTGAGTTTTTGCATCATTTCACGTATTCTGTTGACCTGTCCAGATAAGACAAAGTGATGACCATGTTACGCAGCCCCTCGGTGCGTGATAAAGAGAATGTGTTGATGATGACTTGGAACATTTTTCTGTTCTCTGGCCCTGTCCTTCTGTGTCTGAGATCTGGATGGGAATCAGCCTCCACTGTTTCTCATTCTGATCGCCCACAGCAAGGTGAGATATAATTCCTGCTAGAGATGAGCGAAGCCCTGACTGACGCTCTTAGTATGAGGGTGCGCTGACTTTCGCAAACTTATCTGCAGCTCTTGAATATTGTGAAGGGAAACAGGCCCAGCGCTCTCACAATAATAGGAACTGAAAGTTCATTCTCCCTCACTTTTCATGAGTTTTTACCATTGCTGTGTGCTCAAATTGCATTTTTTTGAAGTTGAAGGACAAAAAGAAGTCTGTACTCACTTTAGTGAAATCATGTCATAAATACTCCGTTCCTTGAGGATTCAAGATCAAGGAGAGTTCATTATGGATACCCCAGGTTCTTTATTATCTCTTTTTCCAAAAGTTCCAACACAGTGTCTCAAACACTTTCCCCTCCACCTGTGACCAGAAAATTGGGGCCTTGAAGGAAGAAAGCTGATCAGACATCACCAGCTATGTAACTGTGCTTCTCACATCCTAAACAGAAAATGACAGATTTGGCCTAGAGCTCCTCCAATAGGTCTTCTAATTTTAAAATGATTTTTTAAAAAATTCTTGGGAATTTAGCTATACCTATCCCCCCACCCCAATCCCTTTATTCTGGCTTCTCTGCTGTCTTCTGAAAACATCATCTTAGAAAACCAAAGAGTTCCTTTACTGTATACATCTGTATTTTATTTTGCTTGTATTCCTTAAGACCTTAAGAAGTAGACTTTTAATTATTCTATTTTGAACTACCAAACTTTAGTTTTGAGAATGTGACTACATCTCCTGACCGTGCAGGGAAAAGTGAATGAATCTCATTGAAGAAGTTACCTGTGGTCAAATGTGAGGAAATCGTGTTAGACTGCATCCCACTGTTAGAATTTTACACTGAACATTCACTTACAAAAGATTCTTATACATTTTGAAATAAAGAAGCTTAGTGACTTTGGTTTAACCCAGGGAAGGCCACACATCTGTCATCTTGACATCTTCTCATTTATGGTAGCTTCAGTACTCAGGGTCCCTACCAGGCAGAAGACAAAGCTCTAGAAGGAATGGTATAGTTGGAACTGAATATTCTGCTCACTGACAATCTATTCAGCATAGATCCATAAGCTCACTATTCTTTGTGCTCCTCAGATATAAAATGAGGGGAAATCAGAGCTCCCATTTCACTGTAAATATGAAGATTTAAAACAGTAATATATGATTGCATTGGATTCAATCAAGAAGTTCTGCTCTCTGGATTCAAAGTTGACCCTGTCATCTACTGCTATCTGACCTTAGGAGCATTGCTTAACTTCTGTGCTTCAGTTTCTCATTTGTACGCTGGGAACAAACATTGAACTCCCAGGGTTATTGAAAGAATTCAATCCAATTTGTGTATTTAGAATTGCACTTGGTCCATAAATATTAACCATTATTATGGTACTTTTTTCTTATTTATTATTATGGCACCATTATTCTTGGTACTTTATGACAACTTTATTTTTATTAAAGCAATTTTTCTTATCCCTGTCAAGAGCAGCCTAAATCCAGAATATTTATTGCTAAAATAATATCCTGCAAAATATTTGATTTTGCTTTTTTGCTTCTGGTCTCCCCTTGATCTAGATCCTGTGGTTCTTGTCTCTTCCCACCATCATTTAGCTCTCTGTGTTTGTGAACAGGGACGGAGAGGCCTCGGCTCTGTGTTTGTCTGGGCGTCTGGCAATGGCGGAAGGAGCAAAGACCACTGCTCCTGTGATGGTTACACAAATAGCATCTACACCATCTCTATCAGCAGCACAGCAGAAAGCGGAAAGAAACCTTGGTACCTCGAAGAGTGTTCGTCTACACTGGCCACCACCTACAGCAGTGGAGAGTCGTATGATAAGAAAATAGTACGTGACGTTTGCATATCTAACAATCAGTTTATGTAATATTCACTCTGAAATACTAAGTGAGAACATCAGATACATAATGTGTTAAGTAATATATGAAAAAAAGGTCAGATTAGCTGATGATGTTCAGCACAGGTCTCTGTATGTTGCTATTTTTTACTAATTCATTGAAATTGCTTGTTTGCATCATTATTTTCCAGCCTTTCATATAACCATAAACACAACTAAGCTTTGGTATTATTTAGGACAAATGATTGACCCACATTTACATTGAGAGTAAGTGGCTGAGATAAGATTTGAAGAAACTTATAACTCTTAGCCCAGTCCCCCCAACACTAACTTTTAGGCTTAGCTTTGGTGCTTCATTTTCGAAGTACAGTTAATTCAGTGTGTTTGTTTGTTTTGGTACTGGGTATTGAACTCAGGACCTTGCTCTTGTGAGGCAGGAGGTAGAATCGCTGAGCTAAATCCCTGGCCCCTAGTTAGTTTAGTGTGAAGAACAAAAATGTGTAAAGAAACTCAGAATGTTCTCGGGTTAACCATAGATTGAAAATATTCAGAAAAAGACTTTATTCTTTGTCACTATTTTCTAAATAGTACAGCATTTTAGCTAGGCACATAGCATCTGTAAGGTTTTATGTATTATAAGCAATCTAGATATGGCTTAGATTATAAAGGAGGATGTTCATAGGTTATATAAAAATACTGTGCTATTTTATTTTCTGTAAGGGATTTGGACATCCTCAGATTTTAAGATCCATAAAAGATTTCTGAAACCAATCCTTTGCAAAAGCCGAGAGACCACTGTACTTGCTTCATTCAAACTGAAACTTAACAAGAGTACAGCACAGTGTGCTGGATCGAGAGTTACAGAAGTGTTCCAGGTCCCCCTGCTCTGCACTCCAGGCAAACAGCCAAAGATTTAAGAGTTTGGGTTTCAGGCCTAGTCTACCCAAGTTTCTTTCACTCTATAGCTATTTACTAACTAGGTAAATCTGGAAAAATACTTAACTTGTCTGTCTCAAAATCCTTGAGTATAAGATGGGTATTTAACCTAACCAGTGTATGTTGTTAAGATACTGAAGAAGTCAACAAAAAGTGCATAGCCCAGAGCCTAACCTGCCGATGTTTGGGGAAGCTCTGACTTTTGGAGTGCTCAGTACAGTGCTACTGATTCCAAATTTTCGACATCTCTGCACTGTACTCCTTTCACGATCAGGATTTTGTCAACTGCCTCAGGACTTACCTTTCTAACATGGAGCTGAGATGCCAGAACCACACTTAGCATTTCACCAAGTCCCACTTTTAGGTCTTACAGAGCCGCATGGGTGCAGGTCTCTGCGGGTGGGCATCACCCTTCACAGGTGTGGGTCACTCCTGGTGGGCATCTTGCGTTTCCATGGTGGAAGACAGGACACTGCGGGTAGAAAATGCTAATCTCCAAGTCCGAAATGCTCCAAAATCCAAAACTCTTTGAGTACTGACATGACCGCACACGTGGAAAATTCACACCGCATGGCTGGATTACTTATATAAAATTCTTAAAAAAATTGTCTAAAATCATCTTTATCTGTGTAAAGTATAAATGAACCATAAATTAGTTCCTGTTTCCAAGATATCTTATTATGTATGTGCTCATATTCTGAAATCTGTAAAATCTGGTCCCAAGTGATTCAGATAAGGGATACCCAATCCTGTACCTACTCTGCTGCTCTTGCTTTGTACCATTCAGTTTCTCTTTGACTACTAGTGATTTTGTACTTTTTATATTTGATTTCTCGGCTATTTTTACTGCCTTTTAGAGTTACGCTTTGTACGTTGACTCAGTACATTTGCCTTGTTTATATACATGTCCTTGTCTTTCCCTAGCTCCTCCACAAGGACTACATTTAAAAATGCATGGGAAGGGGCTGGGGATTTAGCTCAGTGGTTCTGGCACCTGCCTCGCAAACATAAGGACCTGAGTTTGATCCCTGGTGGTCCCAAAAAAAAAAAAAAATGCATGTGGGTCCATCATTTGGCACCTCCAACGTTCCTCAATAAGCACAAATCCAAACACCAAGGAAACAGAACAGGACAAACGCAGAAATGATGAGGAAGCTTGGAAGCTCTCTTAACTGGAAAGTAATATCCCCATGAAAATTTGCCGTCATTATAAAAACTTTTAATCCAGAAAAATCCCTTTGGCTTTTAAATAGAAAGACCTTGTGTGCTGTAATTTCTAGTCAGTGTCCACCTCGGTGAGTGATACCCATTAGGTCTTCATCTGAGGGGAAAATATCCAACTGTATTCTCTCATTGAGGACCAGGGCCACACTTCTTTGATATCGTTTCCCGTTAGACTATAAACTTCTATTAAAGAAAGCATTTATGGAACCCAGCTACCCTCTCCACGGTGACCACACCACAGGGAATAACAGGACTCACCAGCTGACCATAACGAGCTTTCGAGATGCCTTCACCCTTCTCATTAGGAATTTCATGAAGAGGAGCTGTGATTTACCCGCAAGACTTCACTTTCCTGGGCCCTTTGTCACACCTTTCTATGATTTGTAATTTGCTGTTTCCCTCATAACAGGGTTGTCATTAAGGAATCTCTCCCATGGACAGACAAATGAATCATCCTGGAGAATACTTATCCCCGAGTTTTCATGAAGAATTTCATGATGCAGACCTGATGAGTGTCATACAGTACAAGGAACATTGGCCATGAGTTAGGGAATGTGGGTTCTTCCCATTTAAAAGCAAATACGATGATTCTGGATTATAATATTTCTATCATGGAGGCAAAATTTCATGCAGACATCATTCTGTAATTAATTAAGAAAGCAAGAATCTTCCAAACTTGTTCATTTCCACATTTCCCCTTTTCCTCTAATTTTTTTTTTTTTTCTGAGACACGGTCTTCCTATGTAGTTGAGATTGACCTAGAGCTCACTATGGAGCCAAGGCGATCCTCCTGCCTCAGCCTCCCGAGTGCTGCGATTACAGGCGTGCACCACCACGCCCAGCTATTCCTCTAATTCTTAAATGCCCTTATTTTATCTGAATCCCCGATTTGGAAGCTGTTTGCAACTAGGCTCCATCTTCAAGGCTAAGTGACACTCAGAGTGTAGATTTCCTGTGAAATGGAGGGGATGACGGGGAAGACCTCAGGTCTCCATGAAGACATAAGACACTGAGGGTAGTGGTGTGCTGGGGGTGTGCATGCCTGAACCACAGGCACTGCTCCATGAGTGGCTGCAGCATTCATAATTAAAGCAGTGGCCGTCTGCATCCTAGGAGGGGCCGCTGGTCATTTTTGCAGCTGTTGTTAGCAGAGGTGCTTGTTGCACTTCTGTCCTTCCGCCCTATAAAATACTTGGGTCTGTTCCACCCGCCCTGTAAAGAAGGCCCCTTTGATTGTGAGCATGTTCACAGTTGGAACATGAGTGGAGCTGGAGCAGCATCAGCCTTTTATGGTCTGGCTGACCCCTTTTCCTTCTCCATATCAGGATGATAAATAATCCCGTGTCACACCTGGGACCTCACCTCCTCCAGGCTTTGAACTTAGACGCCTGTGGTCCCCTGGTGATGCCCGCTTCCTGTTAATGGCATCTGTGCTTGAGTGCTGCACGAAAGGCAGTGTCTTCCTTTGTACCTGGCCGCCTTCCCTGAGCCATTCATTTCCTTCTGTTATTTGTGGCCTCTCCGGAAGAGCGTGGTTATCATTCTTCATTCCTAGAGCACCTTTGTGATTTGAACCGAGACAGACACTGAGGACCTGAGGAGAGGGGAAAGAACTCCTCTCTGCTTCTGGCAAAGCACTTTTGTTAAATATATTTTATTTGTCTTGGGCAAAATGCCTTTTTATAGTTTACAAGTAGGAAAACCTGGTCCTGGGTTTCAAAAGGTAGCAAGGTCTCTGTCCCTAGGTTTCCTGCCATTATTGCCAGCACTGCTGTAGACGGTGGTGTTGCGTTCATGTTTTCATATATTCACACTGGCTAGGTAACCTCGTGGCTTCTTCCAGCAAATGAAGAGTCCTAAATATTAAGAACAGAATGATGAGAAACTCCTTTAAGCTTAGCTCTTTAAGCTAAGTAGAAATCATCCAGAAGGACTAGTTACGTTAATGCCACAACATGCAGTGTTTTATTAACATAATTGTATGCACCTCATTCCATATCTTACATGTAATACATTTAGATTCTATTAACATGTCAGAAATACCAGTTTTCCTTCTTTTTTTTTTAATTTTATTGAGTTTATTGGTACATTTTAGGGATACAGTACAGTTACATTCATTGTTCGGATCATGTACCTCTACATGGCAAGTCTTGATTCTCATTTTTTCCCCTTACCTCTGCCCTCCCTTCACCCCCTCCTCCCCTCCCCATCTACAAACACTTTATTTTCATCTTTTCTTTCTCTCACATTTTTTTCTAGAAATACCAGTTTTCCTTCTAATATGAGCCTGGCACATCAAATGCATCTCACACACACACACACACACACACACACACACACACACACACACACTCACGCAGAGCCAGTTGATGGTACAGCCTGGATTCCAATCAGTCAGGATGGAACCCACACCCATCTTATAATCATTGTGCCGTCATGTCTCTGATGCTCTTCTGGGACATCCAGTATAGGTGTATATGAAATGAGCACAGTTTTCTTCCTGTTTTGTAGCCTCTTAAGTGGTTTAAAAAAACAGATATCTAGGTGTTCACTGCTTTTGATGCCTTCATCCTCTTTTTTTTGGACATTGTGCCTTTATAATCAGACTCCCTAAGACAATCACAACTCTTGTAAAAATCTAAAGCACGATGTGAGGACCAAACTCCCAAGCTTACACCTTTGTACTATGTGAAAAACCAGAGCTGCCATGTGCAGAGTCCCCTCTCTTAGGAACACTCTTCCACCGGGTAATGCTTTATTTATGTCTCTTCTCAGATTTCACCTGGGAGAGGATTTTCCTCATCACCCTCCCTAAAGCAGAGGCACTCTCC